ACTGTAAAATCAAGAGGAATCATTCTCCCACACAATCGTACTTGTTTGCTTGTGTAAACAGACGTGGATATCCGGTTAAGGTTTGACATTTGTGGGTTTCCATTTAGATCTCTTCTCTTAGGAAAGGCGTCTAATGTCACAGAATGTGTGGAATGTGAAAATATTGTGACCATCGTCTTCTGCAATGCAGTCAACCTCAGAGAGGAATGGGCTCAAGCACATCCCGTAGAAACGATTGGTGCTTCCGGCGCACTTGGAAGATGCCGAGCATATTTGTATGGTAATGTCTCTCGTCACCATTTGGAAAACATTGAATCAGCACACATTGTTAAATTCTTGGCTAGTATTTAAATAACAATGTCAGCAACAGGGTGCTTTTGTCACTTTATTACATAAGTAACAAATTTCTTCCGACATCTGGTTTGCTAAAGGAGTTCAACCATTCATTCCCATTGTTTTCAAAGAAGCCATTGATTACTGAACTTGACCTACTGAAGTTATTAATCACAAATTATTCAACATCACATGCTCAATCTCTTTTAACCATACAGTGTACCGTGTATTATTAACCTTAGTGAGTGGCGCTGTCATCCCAGTTGATGCGCCTTCGCTTTGGTCAACTATGGTCCTCCTCCAATGAAAAGACAGGTAATACAACCTTACATGGTTTGGCTTTACGAGTCTTTCAGCGCAACAGTGCATTTGTAATCTTCTTTTCAACTTGAGTAACTGTGACAGAGGAAAACTGCTCAGTCGAATTTTAAGCGTTTCCAACTTCATTTAGTGGTTAAACAAAACGCCTCTGCATTCATGTAGCCATAGTATACCTTGAGAGGATGAATACGTCCTCTTTCCGCACAAATTACCTATCCCTTACTAGACTGGTCGTGGACTTCTTCCAGAACACCAGTCTCAGTCCCAACTACGCGCGCCTGGACAAAGAGGAGGTGGGTGGGCTTCGAAGGAGACAGTCATTGTCGCCAAACAAACTCCAGTCAACCTCTCTTTATCTTGGTAAACTCATCCTCATTGAGGTGGCTAGAAAACTTACAAAACTTCCCTGTCCAAGCCTCCAAGTCTTTTTCATTTTTATGGTTGTTTTCGCGCACGATTTGGAAGCCGCCTCTCGCTCATTCCCTCCTAATCAGCTCAGATCACGTTATTTGAACTGAAAATGCACTAATATTTACCATAAGTCCAAAATAGATCAGTCAGAGCAAACACTTGTCACTTACTTGACGGACTGACTGACTGACCTTCATGCACACACTTGGGCGGTTTCTACTAGCCACCCGATAGG